CAGCTGGAAGGCAGAACCGGACAGTAGCCTGAAAAGTTCATTCATTTATTTTATGAAAGATTTATAGAATAATGGCTGACTTTTTGCCAGACTTCGACTTTGTGGAGGAGGAATTTGATTTTGCAGAGTTTGATGGCCGCCCTTATTTATTTGAGCCAGAATACACTGACGAAGAGCTTCGTGAACTTGAAGAACGGAGGAGAGAGAGAGAGAGAGGCACCACAGGTAGAGGACGAGAGAGGAGGAATGGCTGCTGCAAGGCTGCGTAGCTCTGGAGATTGGTGGTGTACTTGTGAATGCTGTGCCCCAATGCCCACAGAAGAGGAATGCCTCTGTTGCAAGGAATGGGACTGGTTGCAGCCTTATATTCAAGGTCTGGATGTGACCGAGGACGAGACACCTCCACCTGGGGTAGTATCCAGCTGGGCTTTATCTAGAGCTCGTGAGTTATATTTCGGCCGCGCTTTGGAAAGCAGAGCTAGATGGTAAACAAACATGGCAGCACACCAGTAAGGTAAGACAACACGTTTACATGTCGTTTTCTATAAGTTCTCTGACATTTATCTTAACGATATGAGGCGGTCTTTGTGGAAAACAGCTTGTTTAGTGGACTAACTTTGCACTTGAAGGTTGCCCGTTCACTTACGTTTTAACAGGTCTGACGCTACTATGCGCCCCGGCTGTATCTAGGCTAACGGCTAACATGCTAACTAATATTTTTATGTCACTAGTCACTTGAAACAAATTTAGGACGATAGGAGACAGGTTGAAATAAACCGAAATTTCCCTTTAATTGGATAAAAATAAAAAGTCAGACTCTGTGAGATGAACTTTCACTTCTGCCAGGGGTTTTTCATCTTACACAGCACCAGCAGGGAACTGTGGCTTGTTTGTGTAGTGTTTGATTCCAGCCACTTATATCCCTTTTCAACAGACATGAGCTGGCTTGGTTTGACTTTGCTTGTCTCTCTGTATGTGTGTATGTGTATCATTTGAGAGATCGTGACCTGGGACTTTGAGGTGCAGGAAGATGTTGTTCTGTAGTGTATAGGCTAGCTGTATTCTGTTTGTTGGCTCAAATTAGAAAAAAAGTAAAATTTTTGTTCATTGAAGCATGAGGAGAAGAGAGAAGGAGAGGAAGATGGTGCTGTAAGATCAGGTCACATTACTGTATATCGTTCAGGAATATGTTTGAGTTTGGAGTGTTCAAGCGTGTTGGAAGTTTTGGATATTGGAAATTTTGGACATTTCATGTAGGCTACAGTGGGTTGCATGTCATATTTGTGGGATTTGATGTAGGGATGTCCCGATCACATTTTTTTTGCATCCCATCCAATACGAGTCCTTTATTTTGAAACCGAGTCCGATCCGATACTTTGCACAGCATTAAGAAAGAAAAGAAAAGAATGCATCCAAGTTGTCCCATCAGGTTTTTCTTTTTATTTAAATAGTATCCAAAAAGCTCATTGGTGGTTCAACAGCACAAAATGTAAACAAATTTAACATCTTCTTGTCTTCAACAAATCCATTGAGCAACAGTGTTTCCCCTATATGCAACTAGCAGCGGTGGTGCTCCGCTGCTGAAATATGACCCCTGCTACTGATTTATTTTTCTTTTTTTGTTTTCGCTCTTTAGAAACTACCGTTACATTATTTGGCGCTACAGGCGCTTCATATCCAGGTCAATTCACACACTTGTGAGTAAAGCATAAAAGAGGAGAGGGCTCCGTCTGATCTCTTCATAAACTAAAGTTCTATTAAATTGCATGCATGCAAATCATGCCCACAGAGCGGTTGAGATTGCCAGCATATTTCACGATTTCATAGAGTCTCATCACCATCACCAAGTCATTCAAAAAGCACTACACAGAGAGTCATATCCTCACCTTTACTGTTTATTTCTCTTAAACAGCCAAGAGTACATGGAGCCAGCCATCACCCTCCTTTTCACTGCTTTGCTGTTAGTTAATGCTACTTCTAGTTTCAGGGTCTCAGGCATGTTATGTCCACTCATGTTCTCATCTCTCGCCTCTCACAGATTCCCAGTTCTCCTCATCATCTTCCCTTTCTCCCAGTAGATGGGACTACTGTATACATCAGTGGATATGGATGATTATCAGAATGTGAGCCCCTAATTGAGCCCTTCAAGGGACTCTTATATGAAGAGTCCCTTGAAGGGACTCTTAATATAATAACATAACAATATATTATTTATCGTGTTATACGGTGAAACGGTTCACCTTATAACGTGATGACATATTGTTTACACGACGGCATGTCATTTCTGTCTCTACATCGTCGCACCTTTACAATCCTCCTCTGCTCTCTGTATCAGTTCAATGAGTTCGGCCCCGATACACACACACACACACACACACACACACACACAAGGTGAGCACACAAGAGTGCGGTTCAGGACGCATTTTTCTGACAGACAATTTGTTCATTTCAACTGCTGCGTCTGCTCCCACACTCCTCCATCTCAGTAACTCGCCAGTATCGGCCGCTCCTTCTGGGTCAATTCCACGCGAGATTTCCGAGATTCACCCTTTTGGTTTCCATTTAGCCAAAAACTTTTTTTTAATCTTTTTTTTTAACTCAGTAACGGATGTGATCTCCAATGTAGCTCAGTACAATACTTTTTTAAAATTTACTTAAGTAAAAGTAAATTTACTACTGAAAAAATTACAAATTACACACAAAAAATACTCAATTACAGTAAGTAAGTACAGTGAGTAAATGTAATAAGTTACTTTCCACCTCTAAATTTAGCTAACATAACATATCATAAAAGTGGCTTTAAATGGTCCATAATGTTATCTACATTGTGTTATTTTGTAAGGCAGCGGATACTGTGCCATTACCAGCATTTTATTTACTCAGGCTGCCAGTAATCAAACTTGACTCACAGCAAACTCTCGCATCCTATGGACAATCATTCTCACATAATTCACTTTAGTTTGAACAAATAAAGAGCCACACTGTAGCCTCCAGACTTGACAAGAGTAACAGTACATGTTAATGACTGCTATGAAATTAAAGCTCACCTCAACCTCACTCACTCTGACACAGCTGAGTGAACACTGTGAAGCTGTTTGATGCTCAGAGATCTGTAGAAGTTCAATAAGGAGATTTTGAGCTGTGATGTGAATGAACGACACCATTTTTCTGTAACACCTGTGTGTCTGTGTGTTGTGTTGTGTTGTTTTGTGTGTGTGTGTGTGTGTGTTTCCTGTTTCCTGCAGACGTCCAGCAGCTGTTGGTGGTTAAAGAAGAGGTTCCCCCTGAGCAGCAGGAGTGGAGCTCCAGTGTGGACCAGGAGGACCCAGAGCCTCCACACATTAAAGAGGAACAGGAGGAACTCTGGATCAGTCAGGAGGGAGAGCAGCTTCAAGGGCTGGAGGAGGATGATGTCACCAAGTTCACATTCACTCCTGTCCCTGTGAAGAGTGAAGATGATGAAGAGAAACCTCAGTCCTCACAGCTTCATCAAAGACAAACTCAGCAAATGAGAACAGAAGTGGAAGGAGAGGACTGTGGAGGACCAGAACCAGCCAGGAACTCAGATCCAGATACACATTTACAACCAGAGACTGATGACAAGACCGGAGCGTCTTCTGAACCAGACACTGATGACAGTGATGATTGGACGGAGACCAGAGAACCTCAGTCAAGTTTAAACTCTCTGAAAAATGATCAAGTCTCTGTCAATGATTTGATTGTTGGTGAGAAACTATTTAGTTGCTCTGAGTGTGGGAAAAGATTTGGTTACAGTGGAGGTCTGAAGAAACACATGAGAACTCATACAGGAGAGAAACCATTTAGCTGCTCTGTGTGTGGGAAAAGATTTGGTCACAGTGGAGTTCTGAAGAAACATATGAGAACTCATACAGGAGAAAAACCATTTAGCTGTTCTGAGTGTGGGAAAAGATTTGGTGACAGTGGAGATCTGAAGAAACACATGAGAACTCATACAGGAGAAAAACCATTTAGCTGCTCTGAGTGTGGGAAAAGATTTGGTTACAGTGGAGATCTGAAGAAACACTTGAAAATTCATACAGGAGAGAAACCATTTAGCTGTTCTGAGTGTGGGAAAAAATTTGGTCGTCGTGGAATTCTGAAGCGACACATGATGGCTCGTACAGGAGAGAAACCATTTAGCTGCACTGAGTGCGAGAAAATATTTTGTTACAGTGGAGATCTGAAGAAACACATGACATTTCATTCCGGGGAGAAACCATTTAGCTGCAGTGAGTGTGGGAAAAGATTTGGTCACAGTGGAGATCTGAAGAAACACATGAGAACTCATACAAGAGAGAAACCATTTAGCTGCACTGAATGTGAGAAAATATTTTGTTACAGTGGAGATCTGAAGAAACACATGACATTTCATTCCGGGGAGAAACCATTTAGCTGCAGTGAGTGTGGGAAAAGATTTGGTCACAGCGGAGATCTGAAGAAACATATGAGAACTCATACAGGAGAGAAACCATTTAGCTGTTCTGAGTGTGGGAAAGTATTCGGTTACAATGGAGATCTAAAGAAACACATGAGATCTCATACAGGAGAGAAACCATTTAGTTGCTCTGAATGTGGGAAAACATTTGGTTACAGTAACAGTCTTAAAGTACACATGAGAGCTCATATAGGAGAGAAACCATTTAGCTGCTCTGAGTGTGGAAAAAGATTTGGCCTCAGGGCAATTCTGGCAGTACACATGAGATCTCATACAGGAGTGAAACCATTTAGTTGCACTGAGTGTGGCAAAAGATTTGGTGACAGCAGAGCTCTGAAGAGACACATGAGAACTCATACAGGATCAATCTCTTTAGCTTCCCTGAGTGTGGCAAAAGATTTGGTTGTAGTGGAGTTCTGAAGAAGCACATGAGATCTCATACCAGAGAGAAACAATTTAGCTGCTCTGAGTGTGGGAAAAGATTTAGTTACAGCTGTGATCTGAACAAACACGAGATCTCATATAGGAGAGAAACCATTTAGCTGCTCTGAGTGTGGAAAAAGATTTGGACTCAGGGCAATTCTGGCAGTACACATGAAATTTCATATCGGAGAGAAACCATTTAGTTGCGCTGAATGTGGTAAAATCTTTGGTCAAAGTGGAGGTCTTAGGAAACACGTGAGATCTCATACTGGACAAAAACTATTTAACTGCCCTGAGTGTGGCAAAAGATTTGGTTGTAGTGGAGTTCTGAAGGAGCACATGAGATCTCATATGGGAGAGAAACCATTTAGCTGTTCTGAGTGTGGGAAAAGATTTGTTTATAGCGGAGCTCTGATGAGACACATGAGATGTCATACAGGAGAGAAACCATTTAGCTGCTCAATTTGTGGGAAGTCATTTACACAACAGGGAAATTTACATTCACACATGAGAATTTATGAAGGAGAAAAGTGATTGAGCTGTTCAGTCTAGAAAAAAATTGTATTTGGGATAACATTCTAAAAACACTCATGAGAAGTCATACGGGAGAAAGTCTTTAAGTTTAGTGTCTGTATGAAGTCTTTTACACAAACTAGACAGTTACACAAACACAATCAAACCCACACAAGAGAGACATACTGAAGCTGCAGTGTTTCTCACTGAAGATTATCTTGGCCTAAATCTTTTTCAACCTGAGACTATGACAAGATGAAAGACTCTACTCAACCTAAAGCTTTCTGGAAAATATTTAGTCTTAGTATGTCATGTGACAGACTGGCGGCAGGCAGACTGACACAGACCTAAACATTTATGTATGAATGTATGTTTTAAAATATATGCATTTACTTACTTTCCAAGATCAATCTTGTACAGCCAGGGGGGAGTATTTCCCCTCTGAAAGCCAAGCTGGGTCAAAATGTGGGTCATACAGTGGTTACTGGACTTTTACTGCTTGTCAGGGGCAGGGCATGCAGCACTTTGGCTCTTTCCTGTACTTGGATCCAGAGCAGGAGGGCTACTCTGGCTGCTACTTGAAGGAGAGCGAGTGCTGCTATTTTCACCACCCTGGGAGCGTTTATAAAAATGCAGATATTTTTGTTTGCTTTGCAGGTGGTTGACGCAACATGTTTTCTGATGAGTGCTCTTTGTCGGCTGGTGGGAGTGTGCTCATCTGTGTGTGTGTGCACATGTGTCCATGTGTGTGCATGCGCACACATCGAAGCAGAACTTTGCCATGACCGATGCAGAAAGCAGAGGAGTATTGTAATCGTGCAACCATGTAGAGACAGAAATGACATGCCACCCAGTTTTAGACAGGTCCTCAGACTCTGTAGTGACAAGAACCAAAGCAGCCAGATCCACACTGGCCTTTATGAAAGATCTAAACCTCTGTGACTCCTGGGGACACTTTCACCCCACAACTAGACACTACTCCTACTCCTGTCTCCACAACTCCCATATGAGGATAGATTTTTTTTCTGACATCTAACCAACTAACCCATAGAGTGATGGAAACTGAATATTTATCGAGGATCATTTCAGACCATTCCCCACTGACACTCTTATTGTTAACACTTAAAAAAATCCAGGGACCATACACGTGGCAGCTGGATCCAACTTTGCTCAAAAAAGCTCATTTTTGTAAATTCATGAGAAACCAAATTAAGTTTGTCTGTGAAACACACTGTGTCTTTTCCCCCAGTAGCTTTGTATTGTGGGACACAATGAAAGCCTTCTTAAGAGGGCAGATAATTTCTTATACCAATGGTTTAAAAACACATGGCTGAAATGAATGAGCTTGAGAAAGAAGTCCTATGTTTGGAACATGAACAACATATGTAACGCTCAAGGGAGACCTACTAAACTTGAATAAACAAAAAGCTCAAATATAACCTCTTGAACACATACAGAATAGAAATAAATATTCTTTGAGCCAAACACAGATGTTATGAATTGGGGGAAAAGGCGCAGAAAGTCTTGGCTTGGCAGTTGAAGACGGATAAGAAACCTGAAAGAAATGAATGATTGCTTAAAACACTATTATTCTGCGTTATATACATCAAAGTCCACAGATGACCCTGCCACAATTGATACGTTCTTATTAACTATTGAACTACCAAGCTTAACGGAGGAGGACCAGGAGGAGAAGAACTCCCCTTTCACTCAAAAAGAAATCAAAAAAGCCAGCATCTCATTGCAGTCAAATAAATCACCCAGTGAAGATGGGTTCCCTCTTGAATTTTATAAGGTGTTAAAAAAACCTGCTTGTCCCTCTCTTTAAAGATGTTTTGAATTTGGCAACAGAAACTCAAACTCTACCAGATTCCTTTTCTATGGCTTTAATAATGGTTACTCATATGAAAAACAAAGACCCTTAAAAAATGCTCCTCCTATAGGCCTATTATCCTTCTAAATGCAGACTTCAAGATTATTGCCAGATTAAACAGGTTCCTCTCCAAGTTTATCACTATAGACCAAACCATTTTTATAAACAAACCATTCTCAGCTGATAATCTCTGCAGACTAATAAAGACTTTAATAAAAACTTTACTCTCCCAGTTTGGAGAGGGAGACAAGAGAACTGGCATAGTTAGGTCGGTTCCAAAAGTCACACAACAACACAAACTAACTGTCCAATCTAAGGGCAGCTGAAGACCAGTGACTCATTGTGTTCTGTGAAGTAAAATTACTGATTCTTTCTGTGGAGTCTGGTTGCTTTTAGAAGAGCATCATGTAACTGCATCAGTTTTCAGTTGTAAAGGGCTGTCTGACAGCATGGTTAGGTGTTGAAAAAACTTTTAATATGGTGTCCCTTACACTGATGTGGATATTGTTTAGGTGATCCTGTTTTTATGTGGCTAAGATAGGTTTTGCTGCTGTCGCTGTCCACAGTCACCAGACTCCTTTGATAGAAACAGTCCTTCTTTCTACCTAGCTCCCATGCCATTTTTAGTCTCTTTTGGGTCCGTCTGTATCATTCTGTATCCCCTCTTGAAATTCAGAGGTTTTACGGGTTCACAAAGACAGTGCATGTGGAACTCTTGGTTGGTTGTTTTTGTTGTGTTTCTACTTAGCAGCAGTAGTATGAGTCATGGGGTAGATAACTGATCAAGAGCTCCAATCAGAGGTGATCTGATTGATGGATGAGAGGAGCAGCTGCTGCAGAGGCGAGTGAAAGCAAGGGAAGTAATAAAGCAACTCAGGACATAAAATAAGCACAGCAGAAATGTCAGACAGGATGAACCATGGTGTTAAAATATATCTTTAAATGTTTCAGTCATGGCTGAAAATAACAGAAATAAACAGGTTTGCTGAATTAACATATCACTGCAATTCACAACAGTTTGCAGTTTCTACCTGGAAGTCTGCGAAGACGTCATCAACATCCATGTAAGCATATGATGTCATCCGGAGACTTTAAGCGACTTTTTGGAGCTAGTGCTAGCTACTTTCATTGGAAAAGAGTTGGTAGCTCTGCCCTACTTGTGAACTATAGCCAAGAAAACAATACTATTAAGAATCAGAAAAAAAAAATCATCTTCTCCCAGTGGCTGGATCCACTAACACAGCAGATAACAATGGAGCAACACTCAGCTCTGGAAAAGTTATACTGATGGATTATGTGTTAAAGGTTTGATTTTATTTCCTGAATGTTACACTTATGGACTATCTGTGTAAACTGCCCATCAAAATATTAAAGGGGAACTAATGTTTTTTTCAACCTGGGCCCTATTTTCCGATCTACTTTTGTCTAATTGAGTGATAGAATGTTCAATATTTTATATTTCTCCAGTGCGAAACTAGGGCTGATCCATTGTCGGAACCCATCGGCTGTATTCGGCGTCTGACTTCCGGCAGATGGCGATACAGCCTCGGGGGGCAGACCCCCGATTTTTTGGCATTCCGGTTTGATTCGAGCGGAGGACGCTAATTTCCGTTTTCGTCTTCCATTCAGAGTTTGCAGTGACGCTAATTATGGTCCGCTTCGTTAGTTCACTGCACGGACCGTTTAACCTGGCAACAACTGCAGCCGGCTCAAACATGATTGGTCAATATCACGCAAACTACAAACAACCTACAACCGGAAAACAGGGCTCTTCCGCTCTTCTTCCGAAGGTAAGATCTCCGGGCTTTGCCTACAGAGTCTGTATATAGAGACTAGGGCTGACCTGCCTGCAGCCCGTGAGTACGCGCTATATTAAATAATAGGGCACTCAGACAGCGTCACACAAGGGAGCAGTGTTACTTGGGTAGCGCATATACTAAAATTGCAACAGGCAGAGGAACATGTCCGAATCCAGCTAAAGGTAAACACAGGCGTTTATTTCTCCTTTCCGTTATGTTGTTGGATAATTATACTCACAATCCGAGCCGTGTGGAAAAAAGTGCACTTTAAGTGGATGTATTTTGATGTTGTTTGATGCAGTCTGAGTGCCCTATTATTTAATATAGCGCGCTCACAGGCTGCAGGCAGGTCAGCCCTAGCTTTGTACTGGAGAAATATCAAATATTGAACATCCTATCACTCATTTAGACAAAAGTAGATCGGAAAATAGGGCCCAGGTTGAAAAAACCTTAGTTCCCCTTTAAAGGCTGGATGTATCCATTCTGATGTTACACTTATGGATTCCCTGTGTAAACTGTCTACTAATATTTAGTGATCTTAATTTTGTGTCCTTGTGTACATGGTCTGTGTGGATTTTATCATTGTCTCTCTTTTTCCATCCTTGTAGCATTTTATTGAGTTAACTCATGGATTAGGGTATACACTGGAAAGTGCCTCGATAAAGCCACTCCAAGGATTGTTAGCATCTCTCCATTATGTTTCTGTTGAAACACTGGAAAGTGTCTCGATATGTGACATCAAATGAACTAAACTAAAATTCACCTGGAACAATTCAATAAAAGTCATTCTTTCGAATAAGTGCATTTTAATCATTTATCCTCCTGAGTGTGTGTTTTTGAGTAAGCCCGGAATTCCGAGCAACACTTCTGGACTTTTATTTTGAAGCTCATAAACTCATTTACCCCGGAAGCTGTACTCTGTACTGTTGCGAACGTCACACTGTTTGAACAAGATGGCGTCTGCTAGATAGGTGTGTTACCAGAGTGTCTTTATTGTGTTTTTTAAGTGTGAACATGTCTAAAGTCCAAATGCTGAGAGCGTAAGTTAGGTGAAGCAGCGACTAACTGCGGCTGCTGAAGAGATATTTGGGCTGTTTGAAAGAACGATAGCAGAGTACGAGGAGGAACTTTGTCGATCAAAAGAGGAGAACGAGCGACAACGGAAACTAATGGACGCTGTTTCCAACTCTCAGCTTCGGTTACACAGAGCAGGTTTGTTTATTAAACATTACAAGTTCAATATTAATGATATAACTGCAGGTTTGTTCGATAAATATTCAGTCTGTCGATGTTTATACGCCGCGTTAGCTTCTCTGGTGTCGTTAGCTTCTTAAGTTAAGTTTATTTACTTTATTAATTCCCCTGAGGGGAAATTCAATGTTTTCACTCTTGCTTGTCAATTACACACAGGTCTGAAAGACACACACATGCACAAAGTGGAGAGATCTCAGAGTGAGGGGGCTGCCCTTTGGTCGGGCGCCCTCTGGTGTCTGGTGCCACGTGTTTTTTTTTTTCTTCAGTTGACCAATGACGGTTGAGGACATTTCCAGGGCAAACCATCACTTTTTGGAATCGAAACAGAGAACGAAGAGAACCTCAAAAACAGTACATTAAGATTAACATTAAAAAAATACCCGTTATTACTCAACCGTTCCACTTCAGACTGATACTACACAACTTCAGGGTGTCACCCAGAAAATACCAGGTCAATCTGATGTAGCATTTCAGAATAAAAGCCCTCTGAACTGTCATATTTTACTGTACTCTTTGTACATTAAGATTAACTTTAAAAAAACAAAACAAAAAACTACTCGTTATTACTCAACCGTTCGACTTCAGACTGATAGTACTCGACCTTTCTTTAGACAAAGACAACAAAAAAACAAAAATGATCAAAGGTAACACATTTTCTCATCCAAAGTCCGGAGTTGACATTGTGCGTGCTGTTGTATTGTTTGCCAGAGCACACTGAAGAAGGGCCAGACCCGAAACGTCTGTGTGGCAAAATAAAATTTGATAAACTTGGAGTGCTGTTCCTTTCATTTTTTAGAATTAAATCAGAGTACATTGGACATAGTGTTTAGTCATCTATTTTGAGTGTGTGATATATGTGTGTCTTATATATTGTTGCCAGGCAACCACCCCATCACGTCCTTACGCTAACCTTTCCCTGTAATCATTCTGCCGTCAGTCAGTCAGGGTGTCAGTGAGCGTGTGAATGGCGGTCCTGCATGTTGAAGTCTCGTATCCATGGCAGCAATGACGCTGAGTGACGGATCTGCCATTCTGTGTCATGCTCCTCTGCAAATTCTGATTTAATATTTCTCTGCTATGTTCCATGAAACTCTTTTGGTTTAATATTTCTCATGTCATTCCCAGTACATGAAAATATGGTTTATGCAGCAGTGTGTGCACAGAAATAAGGGACAAATTGCGTTCTGTATTGATTTAGTAAGGGACAGTATATTTTAAATGTGGGATGGTCCCATATAATTATATATTTCATTTACTCAGGCTGCCAGTAATAAAACCTGATGCACAGCAAACTCTCGCATCCTAATCATTCTCACATAATTCACTTTAGACTGAGCAAATAAAGAACCACACTGTAGCCTCTAGACATGATTTCTCTGTAACGTTTGTGTGTGTGTGTGTGTGTGTGTGTGTGTGTGTGTGTGTCCTGCAGACGTCCAGCAGCTGTTGGTGGTTAAAGAAGAGGTTCCCCCTGAGCAGCAGGAGTGGAGCTCCAGTGTGGACCAGGAGGACCCAGAGCCTCCACACATTAAAGAGGAACAGGAGGAACTCTGGATCAGTCAGGAGGGAGAGCAGCTTCAAGGGCTGGAGGAGGATGATATCACCAAGTTCACATTCACTCCTGTCCCTGTGAAGAGTGAAGATGATGAAGAGAAACCTCAGTCCTCACAGCTTCATCAAAGACACACTGAACAGATGGAAACAGAAGCAGAGGGAGAGGACTGTGGAGGAGCAGAACCAGCCAGGAACTCAGATCCAGATACACATTTACAACCTGAGACTGATGACAGTGATGATTGGACGGAGACCAGAGAACCTCAGTCAGGTATTTGTCAAGTCACACATTTGCTTGTCTTAAGCAAGTCTCAAGTTTTAACCTTCAAGTCTCAAGCAAGTCCCACGTCACTGTGGTTAGAATCAAGCAAGTCAGGTCAAGTCCTTGGTACGTAGGGAAAAAAGTTAAATTTGGGTTCATTGAAGCGTGAGGAGCAGAGGAGAAGAGAGAAGGAGAGGAGGATGGTGCTGTAAGATCAGGTCACATTACTGTATATCGTTAAGGAATATTTTTGAGTTTGGAGCGTTCAAACGTGTTGGAGTTTTTGGATATTGGACATTTTGGACATTTCATGTAGGCTACAGTGGGTTGCATGTCATATTTGTGGGATTTGATTCAAAGTGACAGCTGCTGGATGAAAACATAATGAGTGAGTTGTTTTATATTCATTGTTTGTGATGATAAAGGCTTGTTATAGATGCTGGCTTTTTGACCTTTTTCAAAAACAGTGTTGTTTGTTGCTGCTTGTGTTGCAGACCGCTGTGTCTTCTTGGTTATTGTATTAACGGCAGGAGGCCACCGTTGCTGACACACTTGTGGTTTGTTGTTGTGTGTGGCTTGATTGTGTTGGCTTTATGGCTGTGTGGCTGTATCTTATGGTTTTCTAACATCACTGAATGGGTTGGTATTTATGGGCCAGCTTTGAGAGTAGCGGGTACTTGTTGCACCCTGTGTCTCTCCACCAAAGCAGTGGGTTGCAGTCTGCAGAAAGAGGAGTCTCCTTCATGTAGGCTTGCATCTCCAGGATGCCGACACCGCTACCCTAATCAAAGTCATTCGATTTATACAAGTCCCCAAACAGGCTCCCCATCGCTCCCAGAGCAGCAGTTGCCTTTTCTCCCTTTTTTTTAAAAAATATTATTTTTTCGGGCTTTTGCCTTTTAATTTACAGGACAGAGTGAAATGGGGTGAGAGAGAGAGCAGGGGGTGACATGCAGAACCTGCAACCGCTACAGCAAGGCATCGCCTCAGTACATGGGGCGCCGGCACTATCCACTACGCTCCCTCTTGTGTACAGTTATTGTTACAGGTCGACCGATATGGCCTTTAGGCCGATTATGCCGATGCCGATATTCAGAGAAAGCAGGGCAGCCGATGGCCGATATAAGGCCAATATCACTTTTTTCTCCCCCATCTGATAAAATGCAATATTTTGTCGTTACGGGTCTCCTGTCCCTCGCCTCAAGCCCAGGGTTCACCTGCTCTCTGCCTCCTGAATTGTGCTTTTGGATCTAGGAATGAATCTGATAACAAATGACACAATACTGTTTAACCTAAATGTTAACATTTATTGAATGTTCTTGTAATTGACTAAATAAAAAATACTTAGTGTTTTAGTGCACTTATGAACAGCAGCATTATCAGCTGACAGCAGCATCACTGAGAAAACATTTACAGAAATTACTGTATAAACTTGGTTAAAAAAAATAATCCACCCTCTCTCTCTCTCCCTCCCTCTCTCATAACATGAGCATGCTTGTGTTGCAGTTACCAAATTAGTTAGGCCTAAATGGGTTTTTGGTAATCACTGGGAATGGGAACTGGATAGTGTTGTCACGGTACCAAAATTGGGGCCCACGGTACGATACCAGTGAAAGTATCATGGTTCTGAGTAGTATCACGATACCACAGCAAAAAATAGGCAGATGTGCCTTTTGTCATTTATAAAAAGATAAATCACTTTTCTATAATACATCAATGATATTTCAATGGAATAAATTACTTACTGACTTATTCATACTTCAAAAACAGCATCAATAAGTGATTAACATAGGGGGGATCAAAATAAAATAAATAAATAAAATAAAAATCAACCAGCCACCCTCCTCCCCTGACAAGTAAAGAACAGTCCCTTAAGTGCGGTGAGGTTTGTGGGCCGTTACCTGCCACAAAGAGAGAAATGTGAACGGCTCGTTTCTCCTCTGACACGTCACATACCTTTGTGCTGCCACGGCTCGGTTGTCCAGGTACTACTGGGTCATGAGACAAACAAAAGAGGAAATTATTGGACCTGGACTTCTCTGTCGCCGGTAAGCCATTGTCTTGCGCCGCGGAGCACTATGGATGCAGTAATTCGTGGAATTTTAGTACCGTGGTCTGCCGTTGGTACCAGTATACCGTGCAACACTAGAACTGGAAACTTATAAATACCTATTGCAGTGTTCTGAGTAATTATGTTCACTATTCCGTTACTGTGCCAATATGTTCTCCACTGTTCTGATGCTAAAACTTGCACAGGGTTAATGTTCACTCACTATTCCGTTGTTACTGCTGCTTATATTTGCACTGATTCTGTCTTATACACTACTGCACTGTTGCCATGACATCCAAACAGAAATAGACGTGTGCTGACCAGAAGAGAAACCTTAAAACAGTGTTAAACTGTTGGACAATGTTGGTGTTCTTCAACGTGCCCTCAACACTGACGTCAGCGTCTTGTTGGGCTCAAAGAGGGGAAGCTACACACAGGTGCAGCAGAGCAGACTGTTTCTCCGTCTCTCTTCTCTCCGTTATACACGTGTAGTGTTGCTGCTGCCATCATAAACAGACTGGAATACTGAGCAACGCACGCCAGTCAAACGCAACTGAAGGCTGTGTGTATCTCCAACATGTTGACAAGGTATTCCAGCCCCTTTATGATGACTGCATCGCCAATTCTACACGTGAATAACGGAGAACTCCTAGCACTTAGCCCTTTATATTTGTGTTCAGTATAGGCAATTAGAAAATGCACTGGAGACGGTGAATGTGCATTTCAAAGCAACTCAAACTCGTTATACGAGTACCCGCGGTGCTTCCCTGATTAGCAAACATAAGCCCCACACCTCACGGGCACTTGTTGCATGTTGTTTTCACCGTCTCCAGTGCATTTTCTACTACAATGCAAACACTAGTTTTACTTGTCAACATGTTGGAGATACACACAGCCTTCAGTTGCGTTTGACTGGCGTGAGTTGCTCGGTATTCCAGTCTGTTTATGATCGCAGCACCAACACCACACGTGAATAGCGGAGAGATGAGAGACAGAGAAACAGTCTGCACTGCTGCACCTGTGTGTAGCCTACGACGTCAGTGTTAAGGGCATGTTCAAGAACACCAACATTGTGCAACAGTTTAACACTGTTTAAAGGTTTCTCTTCTGGTCATCGGCCTCGTGAGCACAGGAATCAGTCTGAGCCGATTACCTCAAAATGGCGTTAGACCGGCCCGATTAATCGGCCGACCTCTAGTCAGTAGGACATGCAGTAGGTCAACATGATAGTCAATTTTTAGAGTGCCCTCTGTTGGATCACAAGACAAACTACATCAAATTGTCTGATGCACCTAGAGACTGCAGCCAACAGGTAATTACAGCTCAAACAGGGACTTTTCACCTAATGTCCGAACGAATGTCAGAATCTCGAAACAGTCTAAATAGAACCACATGCGCATTTGTAGAGCTGCAGCAGTCAACAGACAATTAGTGCTGAAAGTATGTCCTTGGCCAAGCTACCTCACCTCTCTTCAATGACCATCGGCTCTGCCCCAATCTCACACACTTTAAGGAATACATGAGTGAAGTACAAGAACCACAAATTTGTACTGCATTAGTACTTGAGTTGATGTACTTAGCTACTTTCTACCACTGGTAGCTGAGTTGAGAAACCCCATGAAATTAGCCAATGCTAACTAATTAAGCCAGAGGTGGAAAAAGTACTGAAAAATTCTACTCAAGTAAAAGTACCTTTACTTTGATAGGTAAAGCTACCCATCTGAAAATCTACTCAAGTAAAAGTAAAAAGTAGTTAGTTTAAAACGTACTTAAAGTAGAAGTTACTTAGTTACTTCCAACAACTTGATGGGGGTCACTCCTATGCAGTGCAAAAATGGTTCAGGGGTCGTAAATCCAATTCAAAAACTGGTTATTTTTCTACCATAGAATTCAATTCATTTTAGGGCTGCACAATATCATTAGTGCATCACTATTTCATTGTGTTCTTGTGCAATATTTACATTGTGAGACTCGCAGTATAAGTTCATCATATCAATATAATATTAGTCAAAGGCAATATGCCATACTTATTTTGCTGGTTAATACTATAGGTTGTGAAGTTCTCAGTTTCAAGGACAGTTTGATTGTAAAATATATATTTCATGCAAATACAGCCTTTCCAAATCCCAAATGATCACTTCTTTCTAAATAGAGCTATTCAAGTTATTGCAATACACTGTATATTGCAATACATATCGCAGTATACAAAATCGTAACATTGTCAGTTTTGTCTAATATTGTGCAGCCCTGACTCACCAAAACAACTGCTTGACTGATGATACACAGAGCAACCTGTTGAGCAATGTTGTTGGGCATTATTCTCAGAGATGCAAACATGTGTATGATCAAAAGAGAGAGCTTGTCGAAGGAAAATTCTTTTTTTTTATAACTTAAATTTTTATTGAGTTTTCACATGCATATAGACAAAACAATACATCAAACAAGATACAAATTAAAATAACAATAGTAATAACACTAACAAACTGTCTGGAGATGAGCCACTATTGAGTCCACTGTTCCATTTGGCGTTTGTTCAGTTGGTGTCACGTCTCATATAAATGTTCCATTTTTCCCAGTTCTTTTCAAATACATTCTCTTTGACTCTCAAAAGGTATGTCAATTTTTCCATGACAAAGATTTCCTGGACAATTTCCAACCACTTTTCCTGTCTTGGGATATTTACATTGAGCCATTTTCTTGTAACTGCTTTCTTACTTGCTGAGAGTAATATTTTAGTCAAGTACAGATCTTCTTTTATTACAACCTTCTCAATATTCCCAAGATACATTACTGGACAAGTATTTGGGATTTCATATCCCAAGACATTTTTTACAACTAAATTAACATTTTTCCAGTATATCCTCATTTTTGTACAGTTCCAGAATATGTGTCCATGGTCTGCCTGGTGTTATAAAATAGCGAGTTAGGTTTTTCCAGCAGATCGAAGCGAAATTCTGAATATTAAAATACACTAACACTAATTTGGAAGAATACTGTGTATTACAAAACAGAACAAATCCATTGAGCAACAGTGTTTCCCCTATATGCAACTAGCAGCGGTGGTGCTCCGCTGCTGAAATATGACCCCTGCTGCTGATTTATTTTTTGTCTTCGCTCTTTAGAAACTCCCGTTACATTATTTGGCGCTACAGACGCTTCATATCCAGGTCAATTCACACACTTGTGAGTAAAGCATATAAGAGGAGAGGGCAATCATGCCCACAGAGCGCTACACAGAGAGTCATATCCTCACTTTTACTGTTTATTTCTCTTAAACAGCCAACAGTACATGGAGCCAGCCATCACCCTCCTTTTCACTGCTTCGCTGTTAGTTAATGCTACTTCTATTTTCAGGGTCTCAGGCATGTTATGTCCACTCACGTTCTCATCTCTCGCCTCTCACAGATTTCCAAATCTCCTCATCATCTACCCTTTCTCCCAGTATATGGGACTATTGTATACATCAGTGGATATGGATGATTATCAGAATATGATCCCCTAATTGAGCTTGGTTAAACTAACTGATCATGTTGGAGAATATACAGTCAGGTCCATAATTATTTGGACAATGATACAGTTGTCGTCATTTTGGGTCTGTACACCACCACAATGGGTTTTAAATGAAACAATGAATACCTGCTTAAAGTGCAGACTCTCAGCTTTCATTTAAAGCTTTTTTCAAAAATGTAGTATGAACCGTGTAGGAATTACAACCATTTCTTCACACAGTCCCCCGACTTTAAGGGCTCATAAGTATTTGGACAAACTAACATAATCATCAATTAAACAGTCAGTTTTAATACTTGGTTGCAAATCCTTTACAGTCAATGTAGTGTTGGACACATAGGCATCATCAGATGCTGGGTTTCTTCCCTGGTGATGCTCTGCCAGCCCTTTACTGCAGCCGTCTGCACTTCCTGCTTGTGTTTTGGGTGTTTTGTCCTCAGTTTTGGCTTCAGCAAGAGAAACGCATGCTCAATTGGATTCAGGTCAGATGATATGACTTGGCCATTGCACAACATTCCACTTCTTTGCCTTAAAAATGTCTTTGGTTGCTTTTGCAATATGCTTCAGGTCAATGTCCAACTGCACTGTGAAGCATCGTCCAATGAGTTTTGAAGCATTTAGTTGAATCTGAGCAGATAATGGTGCCCCAAACACTTCAGCTTTCATCCTGCTGCTCTTGTCAGCAGTCACATCATCAATAAATACAAGAGAACCAGTTCCACTGGCAGCCATACAAGGCCATGACATAACAGTACCTCCACCATGCTTCACTGATGAGGTGGTGTGCTTTGGATCATGAGCAGTTCCTTCCCTTCTTCCTTCTCTTGTCTTCCCATCATTCTGGTAGTTGATCTTTGTTTTATCTGTCCATAGTATGCTGTTCCACAACTGTACAGGCTTTTTAGATGGTTTTTGACAAACTCTAATCTGGCCTTCCATTTTTAAGGCTAACCAATGGTTTGCATCTTGTGATAAACCCTCTGTATTTATTCTAGTGAAGTCTTCTCTTGCTTACAAGAGCAGCAGGATGGAAGCTGAAGTGTTTGGGGCTGCATTATCTGCTCAGATTCAACTAAATGCTTCAAAACTCATTGGACGATGCTTCACAGTGCAGTTGGACATTGACCTGAAGCATATTGCAAAAGCAACCAAAGACATTTTTAAGGCAAAGAAGTGGAATGTTGTGCAATGGCCAAGTCATATCATCTGACCTGAATCCAATTGAGCATGCGTTTCTCTTGCTGAAGCCAAAACTGAGGACAAAACACCCAAAACACAAGCAGGAAGTGCAGACGGCTGCAGTAAAGGGCTGGCAGAGCATCACCAGGGAAGAAACCCAGCATCTGATGATGCCTATGTGTCCAACACTTCAGGCAGTCATTGACTGTAAAGGATTTGCAACCAAGTATTAAAACTGACTGTTTAATTGATGATTATGTTAGTTTGTCCAAATACTTATGAGCCCTTAAAGTCGGGGGACTGTGTGAAGAAATGGTTGTCATTCCTACACGGTTCATACTACATTTTTGAAAAAAGCCTTAAATGAAAGCTGAGAGTCTGCACTTCAAGCAGGTATTCATTGTTTCATTTAAAACCCATTGTGGTGGTGTACAGAGCCAAAATGACGACAACTGTATCATTGTCCAAATAGTTATGGACCTGACTGTATTTATAAAAACATTTGTTCCACAATTTTCATTTATTTTATAATTGTGGTGTCGGAAAATACATTTGTTCAATTTCAATTCTTTAGGTTATTTAGAATTGGGGGGACAATTTGTGTTTTTCAGAAATTGGGTGGGGGGTGCATGTCCCCCCTTCCCCCCCGGGATCTGCACCCATGCAAGGGACGCTTCATATAATAACATAACAGTATACTATTTATCGTGTTATACAGTGAAACGGTTCATCTTATAACGTGATGACTTATATTGTTTACACGACGGCATGTAATTTCTGTCTCTACATGGTCGCACCTTTACAATCATCCTCTGCTCTCTGTATCGGTTCGATGAGTTCGGCCCCGATGCGCACGTACGCACACACACATAGACACGTGTGTGCGCACACACACACACACACACACACACACACCACACACAAGGTGAGCACACAAGAGCGCGGCTCGAGCCGCATTTTTCTGACAGACAATTTGTTTCTTCGTTCATTGCAACTGCTGCGTCTGCTTGTGCTTCAGCCGAAGCACTCCCACGCTCCTCCATCTCAGTAACTCGCCAGCATCGGCCGCTCCTTCTGGGTC